TTTATATGGTTATATAACTACTGATATATTTCTCTTTCCATTGCATTAGTAAGCTAATATTTCATGTAATACATATTTACATGCTATTATGTTGTTATTATTTAAATTCGATATAATTATTCTGTATATTATGTAACTATTTAAATAAATGATTGTATTGTCTATGAGTTTTCTCTAACAAAATCATCGCTATTGTTCGTTTTATTTCAACATTTTTAACTAAGCTGGGGATGGACTACACTTGGTCAGTTTTAAACTACTATTTAGGTAATCCTTTACAGCGTGACGCAAGTAAAACAAAACATATGGAAATAATCTTGTGAAATTTTATTGTCACACAAAACTTTTCCTAAAAAAAAGCGTTCGAATAAGAAAATAAAGCTATGCAATAAAAAACCTTCTTTACTGTTGTTGTTGTTTCGTCAAGAGTCGTATATATTAACTTAAAAAAATGTGTGCTCTGTTAGTACAGGACAGGATGTGGATTAGTTTTGGCTCACTTAGACTGTTCAGAATAATTCTGTTTCATTTTCAGTATTCTTCTACCTAGGATAGTTCTGCCTTTTTTTTTCAATATTCTACTGCCAAGGATAGTCTCTTTCATTTTTTGGTATTCTACTTCCAGAGATAATCCTGTTTCATTTTCAGTATTCTTCTGATAGTCCTGCCTTATTTTCAATATTCTACTGCCCATGTTAGTCTCTTTCATTTTTTGGTATTCTACTTCTCGAGATAATCATGTATCATTTTCAGTATTTTTCTACTTTGGATAGTCCTGCCTTATTTTCAATATTCTACTGCCCATGTTAGTCTCTTTCATTTTTTGGTATTCTACTTCTCGAGATAATCATGTATCATTTTCAGTATTTTTCTACTTTGGATAGTCCTGCCTTATTTTCAATATTCTACTGCCCATGTTAGTCTCTTTCATTTTTGGTATTCCAGTAATTATGTTGTTGTTTTTTTTCTACTAAACCGATAGCGTTTTGGTAGATGTGTTATATCAGCAATTATTAAGAACATTTCAGCTGGCTAACTTACAGCATCAGTCGATAAAATATATTTAATTTAACGTTGTTGTTTTTTGTATCAGGAAATGGTTAAACTTTAGTTGTTAGTTGTATGGGAGTAACTCATCATTTACTTAGTGAAGTGCTTTTAGTTAGTGTTATATGTATATAGGTTTGTAATTAACTTGAAATATATGTTTTATAGCTGTTGTTTACTGTGTTCCTCGTGTAATAGACTTGTTTTAAGTATACAATGGTGAGATTTTCATATGTGTACGGCTTTGTAGCTTAATCTGCATCTATATAAAGTGACGATCATGTATCTTAATCTGTAGCTGTATAGCATATGACATTCGGGCTTAATCTGTAGCTATATAACATACGACATTCGGGCTTAATCTGTAGCTATATAACATACGACATTAGGGCTTAATCTGTAGCTGTATAACATACGACATTCGGGCTTAATCTGCAGCTGTATAACCTACGACATTCGGGCTTAATCTGTAGCTGTATAACATACGACATTCGGGCTTAAGCTACAGCTCTATAACATACGACATTCGGGCTTAATCTGCAGCTGTAAATATACGACATTTGGGCTAAAGCTGCAGCTCTACAACATACGATATTCGGGCTTAAGCTGCGGCTGTATAACATAAGACATTCGGGCTTAAGCTGCGGCTGTATAACATAAGACATTCGGGCTTAATCTGTAGCTGTATAATGCTGATTCATGGAGAATATGAAACTGTCAAACAACATATAAATAATTAACTAATGGTTTTTACAACTCCGATCATGGCGTTAAAGCATTCCAATTTGTTTGCTGTGATAGAACAGTAAGAAAAAAAAAATATTCCTAACTTTGAGTGTGTGAAAACATTAACTTACTCTGGTGTTCGATTCGAATGATTTAATCTGTTTGTGAAATATTATAAAACTACTCATGATATATCTTATCAAGTTCGAATATAATTCAACTTCAAATAGATATTGTATTCATCCACGCCATCAAAGAAGACGAAGCAATCATGAGAAAAATCGAAAGATTTCTAGAATGACTTTGCTTCCTATAAAACACACAGAAAATCATGGTTTATCTGAAACCTAAATAATGAAAACATATATTTCTGTTTATTAGATGCACACGTTTATAATCTAGAATTACTTGTTCGCTAAACTGGAATTGAAATTTTCGAACCGAAGAGCATTTTATACGACACCTGTGTCTAATGTTTGGTTTGAATTTCGCGCAAAGCTACACGAGGGCTATCTGTGCTAGTCGTCCCTAATTTAGCAGTGAAAGAATAGAGGGAAGGCAGCTAGTCATCACCACCCACCGCCAAATCTTGGGCTACTCTTTTACCAAAAAATATGTGGTAGGTGGTGTTAACTAGCTGCCTTCCCTCTAGTAATTTCAAATTAGGAACCTTTGTGCGAATTTCAACAAAACGAAACAACAAACAAACGTTACGAAGAAATCGCGGTGTGTTCTGTATATATTTAGTGTTAATATTGCTCAACTTGTATGTATCAATGTTTTGAATATATTTGCTTGTATAAAAACTGCTAAGCCTATCTCTCGATAAGTTATTAATGGTTTGAATTTTACGCAAAGCTACACGAGGGTTATATGCGCTAGCCGTCCCTAATTTAGCAGTGAAAGACTACGGGGAAAGCAGCTATTCATCACCACCCACCGCCAAATCTTGAGCTACTCTTTTACCAACAAATAGTGGGATTGATCCTCACATTATAACGCCACCACGGGTGAAAGGGCGAGCATGTTTGGTGTGACGAGGATTCGAACCCTCGACCCGCAGATTGCGAGTCAAGCTCCCTAACCACCTGGCCATGCCGAGCCACTAGTTATTAATGAAGGTTGAATATTTTCAAAATACATAGAAACATTTAATCTCTCAGAAATTAATAAATGTAGTTATGGAAATTAACCCTAAGTGTTTCCACTACCATAAAGCGCTTTAATACTATTGTAAGTAATGCGTTGATCGATGTGTTTTACTTACTTCGGATATATAAAATGTGTGCAGTGTTGTAATCGTTTAGACTTCTAAATTTTCAACATACCCGTCAACTTGTGCTTATATGTAAATATACGTAAAACTTCGCTAATAGGTAAACTAAAAGATCGCGGATCTACATGTTAGGCCCAAAGTTTTATTTCTAGTTATGAGTATAATAATGTATTCTATTTTGACTTGAAATTCTACAAAATATATTCAATCAAAGTAATAATGTTCGTTGAAATAAATAAAGTGATCAAAATACAATAATTAACAGTTAATATACTATTTCATTTTCCCACGCCCTTTGATTAACATTTTATTAATAAATTCTAGCTCTTCAGTGGCTCAGCGGTAAGTCTAAAAGCTTATGATGCTACAAACAGGGTTTAGATACCCGTAGTGGGTACGGCACAGATAGTTCATTGTGTAGCCTTGTTACACAAGGGCGACTTGCGCATATCCGTCACTAATTCTGAATTGATACACTAGAGGGAAGGCAGCAAGTCAACAGCGTCAATTGCCAACACTTGTATGACTGAATACAAACATTGAACCTTCGTTCTTATAGCGGGTGCATCCGCGACTTCAAAGCGCAGAGTGTGTTTTTTACGGCACCGGGCCGCGAACTACAAACCTCGGATTCACATTACAGGATCAAAATAAAATTAAAAACGAATAACAACTAAGACATATAATGAGATTCTTGTAACTCCGCTTCACGTAAAATATAAAGTTTGAGATCCCAGTCATGATTGGCTTATTAATTCAAAACCTTTGAGATCCCAAACATGATTGGCTTATGAATTCAAAACCCTCTCTTAGAATATGGTTCCATCATGTTCTTGTCCCCTCTGAATAAATACCCATTTTTTTCACGCTTGTTTTTTACTTGTTATCAAACCAAATCAGTAAATTATAAACCATCGTTATTTGAAAGATGCTAAAATACTGATTAAAGTATTTTGTAGCTCTAAGTCGCAGTAAACCAGGAATTGTGTATATATATATATATATATAATAGAACGGCCATGTTTAATTCTGAAAACTCACACAACCACCACCTTATTTTCTTAACTATTAAAAAGCGCACAGATTTACTTTTTTAATCGTTGAAACATACACAAAGGTTCTCAAAACTAAGCTATTATTGGATTTGTTGACGTTGTTGATAAGTATCTCGCAACTTTCATGTTTGAAACTAGCTTATGAAAACATTCGAGACAATTGTACTACTTGTACAATAATATGATAGTGACACGCTGTTAACACAAATGGTTCCCACGTATTATTCTGAGTCATAAAACTGAACAGTATATATACACTAAAGACTATTTTTTGAAGCTTGAATTTAGCATTACTGTAAAATATAGGGCCGGACGTAGCCTTGTGGTTAGCGAGTTGAATTGTGAAACTGAGGGTCCGTGGTTTTCTTTCGTTGCTGAAATCGCGCCCCATACTTTGGGGCCATAGGTGCGTTATAGGAGTGGTTAAGCCCCACTATTCGATTAGAGATAGCCCAATAATAGAGAGTGTTGTTGACTAGTTGCCTTCCCTCTACCCCCTAGTGGCACAGATGTATATCTGCAGATTTCGATATCAGTGATGGGTAGAGCACAGATAACCCATTGTGCAGCTTTGTGTTTAATCACAAACAAACAAGCCTTCCCTCTAGTGACGGTTAGCACAAATATGTAAAACAAGTAAGCAAACATAGAAATATATATCTTCAGTCCATTCTACAGACATGACAGCAGTACGTTCTGCACTCGAGGAAATTGTGACATTAGTCATCCTTTAAATTAGTCTGTGGATTGACAAAAGTCAACTATGTTGACTCTAACGATGATATCTGTGATTAAACAAACTAGGGCAATACTACAAATGTACGACCTTGTAATAAACAATCTTTCACCTTAACAAGTGAAATAATAGCATAGGTGTACCAAAGACACCTTTGGTCTTGTAATCACACTTCATTTATTTTGAAAAGGTACATCATTAGTTCTGAGTCTCCCAGGGTCCTGCTGGGATGATTTCGTATTTGACCATTTAGTTTTTCATTGATTGCCCTCAGTTAACAAATGACGAGAGACTTCGCGGGTTCTGTGGACAGAGCCGGTGGATTAAAGGCCTATTTCCTAACTCCGTCTGAATTCACTATACACACAGCCAATGGGCTGGCGCCGAGGGTGAGTCTCCCCAGGGCACTATGGTGCGGCGTGTTTGTGTATCTCAGCACCCAGACCGTTATTAAGTGTGCTAGCCCAGCCTTCTCAGGAGGAGTCTCTGTCGTCTTGATAGATGGATACCTGGATGAGGACAGCTTTGCTCTCCGCCCTAAGTCTTTCTCGGCACCGCTGAAGCTCAGCTGTGTCCCTCTGAAAAACAGTTATAGGTAGAAGAAAAGGGTTAGACTTCTTTTGGAGGCTGGAAAAGAAATGTTCATTGGATAGAAATTATTATGAAAGTTACATGATACGTATGTACGTTTCTTATATGTTATGTAAAAACAAGCACATTATTTTCCTTTTTTTATGGTCGATTTTCTCAACTTTAAAAGCAGTTCTTTAATACATTTCTTCAGTGTTAACAGTGCTATGCCACCAGAGAAGGAATAACTTTACAAAACCATGTAAAAAATCTACTTATATAATGCTGTACTTTTCGCGATATAGTAAATTATTTGAATAAGGTTTGATAATTTTCACGTTATAAATACTCACCTTATATCATATTTAATAACTTTCACATAATAAATGATTACATTACAGGTTCTTTAATAGTCCCGATTTTAAGGTTTATGAAGTAACTCGTTTAGTCTTAAGACTACAAAAGGAGACACTAATTAAGACAAATAAAGTGACTTTTCCACTTTACAGGCTATAAAAAATCTGTCAGAGAAACAAGCAACATAGTTTAATTTTACTGAATTACAAAATACTTTGTAAAATATATACAACAACGTATTGATTAAAATAATAAAATAATAGATATTTTACTTCAGAAGAAGTATTATAATTAACAATTTCATCTTCTTGTGGCTGCATTGTAGCTTACAATGCAAAAAAAGATAGAGTAAGATAAATTTTGCTTATTGGTTAAAATAATTAATGTACATTGCAGTAGAGAAAGGGAACAAAATTTAATTCAAGTAAGAAGATGTATGCAAAATTATTTCTTCAAATGCTACTTTCCTTTATTAACTTCCCGCTAGATGGCAGGACGGTATAAGTTCCTTGTTGAATGATAATAAATAGTAAATACTGTGTGGAGTTGCACTACAGTTCTTTAGGAAGATATGCAACTTTCTGTTGAATATTAATTAATGGTACTGTACGGAATTGCACTATAGTTCCTTGGGAACTAACTTACACAACTCACTGTTAGATAGTAATCAGTGGTACTGTGTGCAGTTGCAATACAGTTCCTTACAGCACACAGCTCACTTCTGAATAATATTAAGTAGCATTGTGTGGGGGTGTATTATAGTTCCCTATTCTTTAAGACAGTACACAACTCACTGTTGAATAGTAATCAGTGGTACTATGTGGAGTTGCACTATAGCTTCTTAGGACAGTACACGACTCACTGTTGAATAGTAAATAGTGGTACTGTGGGAAGTTGCACTTTAGCTCCTTAGGACACTATACAACTCACTGTTGAATAGTAAATAGTGGTACTGTGTGAAGTTGCACTATAGCTACTTAAGACAGTATACAACTTACTGTTGAATAGTAAATAGTGGTACTGTGGGAAGTTGTACTATAGTTCCTTAGGACAGCATACAACTCACTGTTGAATAGTAAATAGTGGTACTGTGGGAAGTTGCACTATAGCTCCTTAGGACAGTATACAACTCACTGTTGAATGGTAAATATTGGTACTGTGGGAAGTTGCACTATAGCTCCTAAGGACAGTATAAAACTCACTGTTGAATAGTAAATAGTGGTACTGTGGGAAGTTGCACTATAGCTCCTTAGGACAGTATACAACAAATGTAAATGTGAGTAAATGTTTGTCTTCACGAATTGCTGAAACTGCCCGTTCTTATAATGAACGATTAGTTTTATTTCTTGAATAATCGGATCATTTGAACGGAAGTGGACAGTTCTTGAATGTTGAGAATACCATCTCGATCTTCTGTTTTTTTAACGTAGCTATAATAAAGTTATGTAGATAACGTACGTATTTGTTTCGCTTAGCATTTCCTGTCGTCATCGCTTTGGGCACTGCAATACAAGATACGAAATAAACATGCTATACATCAGATCAGTCCTGTCTGCTGTTGTAGCGCTACGGTTGTGGATCAAGTGAAGTATGTGCTAAACTAGTTGAAGTTATTAGACTCAATGGTTGGAGATTAGATCCAGTGGTTTATGGTCAGTGATAATAGTAAACTTGCCTCTACTGAAGTAAGTACGAAACAACACCTGAGGTTTCTTTCATTTTATATTTGTGTAGAACTCATTCAACGGATATTAGAATTAGAAGCCGTTTAACTGCCTTAATAAATAGGCTCATGTCAATATATATATATATATTTGAGTTTTAACGTATATAGCAACATAAAAGTTTCTTGCGTATGTGCGAAGGAAGTATGTGGTAAGTGCTTGAATAATTCTGCTCATACCTGTGAAAATATCAAAATACTCTATCACCAGTTCTGATCTGACGGTTGGAGATGTGGCGTCGTTTTGCAGTAATATGCTAGAGATCTTGAGAAATGTATAGAATACTCTATCACCAATTCTGATCTGACGGTTGGAGATGTGGCGTCGTTTTGCAGTAATATACTAGAGATCTTGAGAAATGTATAGAATACTCTATCACCAGTTCTGATCTGACGGTTGGAGATGTGGCGTTGTTTTGCAGTAATATGCTAGAGATCTTGAGAAATGTATATTCTGAAGCTGTCTTATAACGATATAGAAGCGCTATCTCCTTGAACAACATAAATGATTCAACTTGGGCCTCAATTTTTCCTTTAAGCGACAGCCGGCGGTTTACAAGATCCGTACAGAAGTGACACTTAGGATTTACTGTGAGCTTCGGTTTTAAACTACGTTTCTGTTAAACACATTCGTCTAATATTTTTATAGTTACGCCAGGACTAACTGTTGATGCTAAGACTAGGTAATAATAGAGTAATTGTTGTCTGCAGTTGCTCTAGGTATATTATATAACTGTATAAGGTGTTTGCTTTCAGTGTTGGACTCAGAGTTTGCGTAATTTGATTTTTCATTTTCAGTTTTTGTTTATATTTACGTTGTGCCCGGCTGTCCTTAATCTCATAGTGGTGAAATTAGTATACGTGTTCAGAGAGTTCTTCATTGGTCATTACACTACACTACATGGAGTACCAAGTCACCATTTTAGGAATAGTTCCTGCCAAAATAGATATTTTGGTTCTTGTTTTCTTCCTAGACTGGAGCTGAATAACGTCCTCGGACTCAAGAAGTTACATTCTTAAGTCTCACAAACACATATAGAACTTTCATCCGTGGTTACTATTCAGTTAGAAGTGTTGCAAAATGGTCGCCTTTTCTCTGGTACGTAGATCATATTAGGGACAACCATACAGATCTTGGGACTGACCGTTTAGGCTATTGTGAGCATAATGTTGTCCAGTGAGGGTTATATACACTTTGTGAAACTTTCGTCTTCATAGACACGGTGTACAACTAAATATGCCCCCCCCCCCGCAGTAGCACAGCGGCATGTCTGCGGACTTATACTGCTAAAAACTAGGTTTCGATACCCGTGGTGGGCAGAGTACAGATAGCCCATTGTGTAGCTTTGTGCTTAATAACAAACAGCAACAAATAAATATTTACTTTACTGAACTGAAGAGTTGTTGTTGTTTTTTATCTCGATAACTCTACATGCAGCAAAAGGCCATGTGATACCTCTTTAACAGAAACGAAAACAATGAAACTTCAAAAATGTAGATCCTTAAAGTTGCTAGCTTGCTGGTTCGACAGTTCTTGTGACTGATAGTAAAGTTAATTCGGATAAAATAATAAGAAATAATAAATAAAAAAATAGAAATAAAATAAATAATTCTGTTCTATTAATTCTTATCTAAGACTTTGATTTTTAAAATGACTTAAATGAAATTGATAATAATTACAATTCATTTTCTTAATCCTATTCACACCCTAACAAAATCCGAGGTTTCGATTCCTCGCTGTAGACACAGCAGCTAACCCAATGTGGCTTTGCTCTAACAGTTGTTTTTCGCGAAAATTGGTGCTATACAGCGCCTAGATAAATGCTACGTTTGTCGTATTCCAGCCGGCCTGATGAGCTGTATTTTGCGATAGGTCTCATCGACACTGATGTAGTGTGATTGCTATGTTACATCATATTCTCCTTTGCTTTCACTCACGGATTCTTAGAATAATTGGATACTACGACATTATTAATAAAACAGATAAATTAATAAAATAAATCAGAAGTAAACACAACGGCAGTTACAAGTTTTCCATGTTATTTAAGCTATTCACAGTTAACTTAGTCGTTTGAACATTGCTTACTTTGTTTGCCATAAGTGTATTAATAGTCCATTAACGTTAATTAGATTATAAGCTTATTAACGTTGGTCTTATTGTTAATTTATTAGTGTTCATTTTACTTAATATATGTAGTAGAACTGACAAATGGGAAGTTATAATTTTTGTTATTTAATTAGTAAATATCGTTAAATGCCTGAAACGTGATGATTTGGTGCTACTTGTAAATTTTGTACTGAATAAATCCACGTGATGAAACTGACGATACATTTCACTTAGCGCTCCATTATGTCACTGCAGTTATATATAACGTATCAGATATGTTAGTAAAACTATCATCACAGCAGAAAGCGGAGGCTGTTGAAAACTTAACCAGATTCTATTGCTTAGCGGTATGATTAGAGCCTTGTGCATGAGAAAAAGCATCTGTTACTGCTACTGGAATATCAAAATTCATTACTAAAGAACTCGTACATACACGTATATCTGTCGTGATGGGGCAGTTATTATGTAACAGTGTCAGGTAACACATCTGTCTGTCTGTGTGACTAACTCTCTAAAAGTTGTTTCTTCTTTCATGTTGTTTATGCTAAATATTGTAAATGAAACACAATAGTATTTTGATACAATATGTCTACTGACATTTATAAAACCATCAAGAAGAAAGACCATAATGACGTGAGTGACTAGTGTTATAGCAGATTCTATAGTATACGTTTCCACATGATGACATTAACCACAAGAGGTTAATCCAACTATATGGTTATATGGGGGACTATTGTTATGGCAGTATCTATAACACGTTTCCACATGATGACATTAACCACAAGAGGTTAATCCAACTATATGGTGATATGGGTCATAAC